GTTGTTGATTGATGTTGTTTCTTGTTTTAACATTATTGTACTATTATAAATGACCAAAATAAAATGAGGTTCACTAAGTATGCCATCAGTTTGTGAGACATTGTCAAGTTCCGTGAAACATGACAAACCAAGTGTTAAGATCATTATTCGTCACACAATAATGGGAAACACAGTACTTACTGTTGTTCACAGAATTATGTTGTCTGGTTTTTGTTTTGTTTTGTTTTGCTTTGTTTTGTTTCTTTACACAGTTGTTTCTCTTTTGAGGGAGAGAGTGGTTCAGAAACTGATAAGACCAAATCTTGGAATTGTTGTTGTGAAGAAATGACCTGCCATGATGGGGTGGGTTAGCCTGTGAACTGGATCCGGTTAGAAGGGTCTGACCGCAGCTGTTAGGGTTGACAAGAAAATGGCGGAGGGTAAAGTGGCCACAGGGAGATGAGACTAGAGAACCTGTTTGCAGGCTAGGGGTGGGTTTGGATATTTGATGTAACTGCTCAAAGGTTAATTCCGCATACAAGCTCAGTGCCCGATCAGGCCAGTGTGTATCTCTGGTTTCTGTAGCATGAAGTGACTAGGAGTATTTCTACCCCTGGATGGGATGCTAGGCCATCGTAGGGTTAACCTCTCCCCCCCCCCCCCCCCCCNCCCCCCCCCCCCCTCCCAGCATTTAAGTCGCCAGTACCCATTAAATTTATACTGGATGGAGACTCATAGGGGCACTGTAAGTGTAGTCTTACCCAAGAACACAAAACAATGTCCCCAGCCAGGACTCAAACCTGGACCACTCAATCCACAGTCAAGCAGAGTAACCAGGTCCGAGGCTACTGCACCTGCACACTGTAACTGCACACATTTAAAACAAACAACCAAAACACTTTTTTAGGCATTTCTGATAATCATTAGTTGAAGCTTAAACTAGACATGTATACCATCCAGAACTTTCACGAACTAGACAAAATAAAAGTAACAACATTCCGCAACACTGGAAACTGCACTTTAATATTTTTTTTCTAAAATAATCTGGGCTCACTTTTCAAGCTAATTTTAAATAATTCAAGCATGACAATCACATGACACCAAGCAGGTTACCAGAGTCGACTGTCATCAAGATTTCAAATTTACTATCAGTCTCTAGAGACAGCTTTTCTACAATTCACTCTTCTTGCTTTTTTTAGTACCTGAAAAAAAATAATAAAAAACAGAGTCAAACAAAGGTCTAAGTCATGCTATAATTATGCAGTCAAAATGCTGCCAATTGACGCTTCATGTACTAAGCAGACACCTCCCAAACCGAGACCCTTGGTTATTATATTGTCCCAGCAATATACAGGCACTTCATTTTAAACCTCCCGTGTGTGGACATTTTTCCTGTGCCAACACTTTTTCTGATCCCTGGCAAGGGGTGTCTACTTACTTACAGGAGGTTAAACTTTAATTAGTCTATTAGCCACATTAGAAGCAATGTGAAAAACAAGTCATTTTTACCCTTTTCCCTCAAGTAAATGCTCACATTTTCTCTTGTTGAATTCGATGATTAAACCATGATTATATCATGTTGACAGCACCAGAAGTGAAGTCTCTATTGTAAGTTCTCTCAATTCATAGATACATTTGTTAAATTAAAATTGCTTTACAGAGGGAGGGAGAGGTTATTTCATATTCAACTGTTTAAAGTAAGAGCTTTTTAAGGGTGCCAATTCAAGGCTGGACTCCTAATCAACAAAATACAGTATTTGAATCACTTTTTACAAGATCAAAAGATGGTGCTTTCTTTACAAGGATTACTGGAAGCAAGCTCTGTCATCAGCTTAATCACTGGCTCATATGTTAGCTAATTAAATAAACTTTCTGTCAAATAAACTCAATTAATCTTTCAACAGTGAACTTAACTTTAGAATCTTTTTTTTCACATATCAGATGTGGGAAATCATTTTCATGTTTTAACATCTGGTATCCAATTGTTTCTACATCCTTCTAATCTCCAGTCTAGAATCAATGGAATTTAACTAAAGGACTTATTTCCTCAACCCACAGGTCACGCAAGCATTCTGTGAGCTCATTAATTTAATTGTAAATCAGCAAAAATGAAAGGTCATATAATTATGCAGTGTTGGAAATTAAATTTTGACAGCACTTGCCATTTAGCCAAGTGATCCTCAAAATCCACTGGCCAGGTGTAATTTTCACACACCCAGAAAGATGCCCCCATGAACCAATTTTACCGTATTATCCCAATTTATCATCAACTTTTGACACTCTTTGGAAATATTTTCACATATCTATAGTTTTAACTGAAAAATAGCTAAACGAAGAGCTGACACTACCGAATTCCCACATATCCATAGAATCAAGACATTGGAGTAAACAACTTGTCAGCACGTGGAAGACTGATGTTTTTCCTTAATTTTCAAAAGCAGTTTCTATTATTTTCAAGAGAAATTTGTGTGAAATTTATTTCTTAACAAGCAAATCTTCATGCCCTAATTACTGTCGGCTCAACTAGAGACCAGCAGTATATATCCCTTCATAGACGTGTAACCGTTAGTGTAAATTATCACTGGAGTAAGCTGTATC